CCTTATTTCCCAACACTGTAGATCTTTATTTTTGAACCTAATAGAAAACTCAAGCACAACGTAGGGTGCTTTCACACCTGCCTCATTTAGTTCGGTTGAATCGCACTAGAGTTCGTTTTCCCCCTTGGTGAAGTTCGTTTAGGCAAGTGTGAATGCAGCAATCGCACTCGGGTGCACACCAAAAGCGGACCAAACAAGCGTACCGAGACCTGCTTGAATAGGTGGTCTCGATACGCTTTCAAGCAAACTCTGGTGTGGTTCGCTTGTGGTGTGAAAGCAAACGAACCAACCTCAGGATTTTATGATAGCAGAGATGTGACCTGAGCATTATTTCCAAAGCTGAACCTCTAATAAATCCATCTGCTGACCGCAACATGTGTTCAGCGATCTTATAATTGATCTGTGTATAAGCCATGTATAGGCTGTGTTTATGAAAATCATTTGGTAACGTGTGTATATATATGTATATATATATATATATATATATATATATATATATATATATATACGTATTTCCCTGATTAATAGGTTAAAATCTGTTAAAAAAGGCGAGCAAGCAGTAGGCTACTCCGTTTACCCTGTCAGTTCATTAAGTCCATAAAACATTTGTGACAGCGATACCACAGTATACTATAGGCTAATAAACCCTGAATTATTCCTTTACTACATGTCCTGTTTTTACGTTATTATTCATATTAGGCTATGTGGCCGATCTGCAGTCTAACATTAGGCTACCATTCATGCTTATAATAAATTATTATTTTGTGAGCTCTTTGTGATACAGATCAGAAGCATTAAAGTGCTGCATAAACTTCATCAATCACCGGAGTTTGATTTCCCCACGTGGGTCCTGATGATGCAGGATGACAATCGCCAAAGCTGCCCAATCAACAAGCTACCTGTAAGTCTGTGTAACGTCATGGTTACTTCTCATTTGTAAAACTGCAGTGTGAACATGAACCGGACCAGAACTAAAATGCAACAGTGTATAATTGTTTTCACTTGGTCCGCACCAAATGAACCGCACTACAGATGTGAAAGTGCCCTCAAATGGCATTAAGTAATCTGTGACCATCTTTATTGACCTCTTTGGCAACCAGCAGAAAATGCAATTCTCAGTATATTAAAATGCTTAGGAATGAGGCTTTTAGTGTGTGTGTATGTGTCTGTGTGTTTGGGGGGGCAGACATTTTATTCCTATTTTTGAAGGCCAGAAATCATTGATATTGATCAACAACTCCATTAACGGTGTCCCCTTCAACATATATTAGAAACATTTGGTGCAATGGGGCAGGAAAAAAGCATACTTATAGCCACTAAAAGGAGTTTACACTTGTCTGAAAGGGAACTTTCAACAGTGACAGAGCTCGCAAATTAAATAACCTCACTGAGATTACATTCTCTGGAAAATGAAGATCTCAAATGCAGGCACAGTCTTAGTGGAGAGTTGGTGAACTAACTGGATGCTCCTTATGTGAACTTCATAAATATTAAGTTTCTTGTCCTCAGAAGTGTGTGGCAAAATGTTGTGAATTTGGCCTGTCAACACCAACTGCACGTTATTATTAGAGATGCTTTTTCCCCCTCTGAACTCTGAGGTCATGTAAGAGGCTGGAGATGTTGATGGCGGTGATATTTTGAGTATATTCTTAATATTTTTAGTATTTCGCTGTCAGCTATTGTCAGCAAGGTTTATGATGAAAAGAGAACATGACAGCTGTTCTTTTTGTTTTGGCCCCTGAAAAACTATTCTGTCATGCATATTGTTTGAGCAAGACTCAATACGTTTAACATCACGTCTGTCATGTATCAAGGCTTGAGAATTTGGTAAGACATGTCTCTCAATGCCTGCTTCACTTGCATAAAGAAATCCACTGATCTAGCCATGCTTTTCTGCAAAATCCCTTCACTATGAGTCTGGCTTATATTCCCTTAGCTGTCTGTGTGTAATAGCTTGGGCTCAAATAGGGGTAATATATGCATGCCTCTGAAACAATCAGTCTTGTTTATCCAGAGCCCTTGAACCTCCAGGATCAGAAAGTTTCTGCAATGAATTCTGATTTACTAAATCCCTGTCCAATTTATTGCCTCGACTCTACACAAACATCAAAACAAACTCTCTCCCTTTTTTGTGCCACCAGCTGTTAGATTTGGGCAAGAATAACAGAAAGAAAGGGTTGGATGATAGAGACATGGAGGATTCACAATTTGTTTATTAATGTCTCTTTCCTTCTCACCCTGACTTTGCCTCTCTCCGCTTCATTTCTTCTTTCCTGAAAAATCTTTGCATCTGCACTGCAGCGCTTGCTAACTGGGAGGAAACAAGTAACCTTTTGATAGAGACCTTAAAGGGTGCCTTAGTAGGTGGATTCATTTGAAAGTTTCCTTGCTTGAGTCTCCTGCCATACTCAAGAGTTATATTTGGTGTAAGTGAAATTCTGTTTCCTGAATGTCTATGAAGATGTTATAGGGAGACAGAGCAGTGTGGGATGAGAGTATGAATGCATAATTTGTATCTCAGGTGCTCATTGAAGTACATTCCATAGGCTGCAGGCACAGCTTTGCCCAAAGTGTAATGTAAAATGTCACTTTATGGTGCATCTGTCCTTGCCTTGATGAAAGTAGATGGAAAATGGAATTAAAAGAGTCAGATTTTTTGCTCGAGAAGTGATTAATTGCTCAAAGCCACAGTTGCTGTTTGGACATCTGCTTACTTGTTGATGTCTCTAATTAAAATGATAAACAATTACTAATGCAAATCTGTATCCTTTTGAATTTTGGGAGCAATGCTAAAATATTTTGCTGGACAAGTACCCTGATTGGGATCTGCATATAATTCAGAATAAAATGATTTATTCTCTGGAAATGTTTATTCAATTTTTTCCAGATGTTTTGTATTATCTATTTTTTTAAAGATATGCAGAGGAATCAAGACTCAATCAAGAGAATCTACAGTCATGCTGTGTGGCTGTACCTAGATAAAGCAGTGCTTTGAGCTAAATGCTAACCTCAGCAGCTAACATACTTACAATGGCACTTACATGACATTATACTGAGCATCCGCAGGTATAACGCTTACCGTGATCACTATCTTAGTTAATTAAGTACAGAGTCTGATGGATAATGTCATATGTATCATAAACAAGTGTTTTTGACGTGATGATGTTGTTAGATGGGAAGTAGGGATCACAGAATTTACAGCAATTTATCATGAATGTCTACATCAGATTTTATTAAGCAATGTAGATTTGAGGAAGAACATACAAGCATCAATAAAGTAAGAGATCTACAAGTGGCAATAAGAGCAGCAATAAATACTAGTAAGAGCTATTAGTGGGTACGGCATCAATGGGGTAAATACCTAGGGGAAGAAGTAACAGTTAACAAATAGTGCAATAAATACAGAAGAATAGTAAGGAGATATTAGAAAAAGAACACATGAAGTGCATGTTAGAGGTTAGGGGTTAGAGGTGTTATGGAGGAAGAGGAAGTGTTCTAGGAAAAGATGAGTTTTAAAGAGCTTCTTGAAGTTAGAGAGGGACGCCCCTGTTCTGATGACGTGGTAACTCATTCCACCATCGCGGTGTCACAGATGAGAACACCCGGGACTGATATTGCTTTGTGTGTCGGGATGGCAGAGCCGGACAGCGTTCACTGGAGGAGTGCAATTGCCAAGAAAGAACGTAAGCTTGTTTTATGGAGTTTAGGTAGATGGATGCAGACCCAGTAGTCACTCTGTATGCAGGCATTAGTGACTTGAATTTGATTGGTATCCATCCAGTAATTGTTAAAATATTTCACTGGAAAAGTGAACACTTTGACCTGCTGGTGGAGCTACAGGAAAGGGTGGGGGGCCACCAACATCATTAGAATTCATTCACTGGGAAACATGAATATCTGTACAACATGTATGGTAATCAATCTAACAGCTGTTGTTGAGACATTTCCAAAGTGGTGGACTAACCATCCAACTGATGTTTCCATCCCTAAAGAATAGAATCCCTAGAAAATACCTTGTGTGCTTCCAGTTGTAGAGTCTAGCATTAAGATTTAAATGTTAATATTTCGCACACAAGCTGCGATGTAAACTCTACTAATGTTCTATTTAACGTTCAGTAATAGCCTGGCCCTGCAAGAACTTTCTAACAAGCTTCAGTTTTCCATTTAGTGCATGGTTTGATCTTTTGCCAGACCCTGCGTTTCAGATGTTTTGGATGGGATTCAACAGCCTTTTTGATTTTAAAATGGTAATGGCTGTTTATAGATTAGAACATTCAGGAGGCGCATACACTTCTTCCTCTCATCACAATTTCAGTGGGGGAGTAGGTTGCATATTTAAATTTTTTTCTTTTGCTAATGCTGTCTACATACAACATTTGACACTCTTGCAGACTAGTTAACACTGAAAAAAATGCAGCTAAGAGGGGAACTCTGGCTGTGAAGTGATATACTGCATATCAGCCTATACAAACCTCTCAGATTACGCTTTTTAATCACATATCCACACCAGCAGTGCATTAGGTGGTAGATCTCATTGCAATGACAAAGCATGTGTGGGATATTTCATCACTAAATTTCCCCGTAGCTGTCCAGAAGCCCTTTCTGCTGCCGAGTTTATCATAACAGCTTGAGAGTAGATGACCCGCCAGATGTTTGTAATCTCACACCGAGAAGCTTGTGACTGGGGTCGCAATCAGATAAGGGAAGGGATTATAAATGGTGACAGTAGGGAAAAGGCTATAGATTCCACCATAATCTTTGATAGATGTCCTCTTTCACCCCCATCACAGGCTAGTCAGTGTATAAAACAACCCAATATCTGATATCTGATTTATATGCCTGTTTTTTCCTAGTGTATCTAAAAAACACCCCTCATGATTATGTTGGTGTAACTAGGAATAAAGTGAGTGAATTTAGAGCTCAAACTCAAGGCACAGGCTCATTTCTTCTTACTAGTTTGTAAGGCCCCATTGAGAGTGTATGGTTGTGTGGGCAGGTTAATGATATCAGCTTGAGAGTAGTTTTTAATCACAAACAGACTAATGAGATAGGTTGGGCTGGAGTGACTCCAGCAATAAACAGCATCACAAGTCGCTGCCTCCATGTCTCTCTTTCTCAATTTTTCTTTCTGCTTTCTTTACTGTCTAAACCAAAGAATTAAGAGATTTAGGAGAACCTGAGCGACGAATGAATATACAATGGTGTGGATTAAAAGGGATCAGTCATATTTACAGGAGTGAACAGTGGGACAGATTCACTCTGTGGCAATGCATGAGCAGGTTATTTGTGGTGGAGGAGCAAATCCTGGTGAGAAGTAGAATTCCCCCCCCTTTCTTACAAACATGTCTCAACTGCTTTTGACAGAAAGAGGTCTTTGTTTACATATCCTGGAAATACATAAATAAATATTAAAGGTGACATTAACAGGCTTTAAAGCAACATTATGTGTTAGGTTTCAGTTCAATGGACTCAGAAGCGGCCAAAGAAGCAGATGAACGGTAACTCAGGTTTCTTCAAAATACAGGTAAAAGGACTGGGGAGGGGAAGCAAGCGGGCTGGACAAAGCAGGAGTCTCAAGTTAATGTAGAAATGTTGCAGCGAAGACAGGGCTCTCTCCAGGCTGGCAGGCAGCATCTTCAAACACGGCTGAGGTCTCACACTGAAGACAGGAAGAAGGAAAAAAGCATTAGTAACAAGAATCACTTGGGCAGTGGAAAAACTCAGAGGACCAGAGCGCTTTTTACCACTGAAGGTTAACTGACAAACTGGCAGGGAGTGACTGTAGAGCTGGGGTATTTTACAGAGTGGGTTGATTGCCGATGAGTTTCAGGTGAGTGGAGCTGCAGGTGGTAAGCCAGAACGACACGCCCCCAACCACACACAGACTGACAGACAGAGACAGGGAGCAGGGAGGGGAAAACCAGGGGGGTAAGCCAGAAATCTGACAGTGAAGCCGACCAAAGCCTGCATAGAGGGATCCATGTAGGCCCAAAAATGACGTCAAAACCCTGTGACACCCCGTCGCACATGAGAGATGTAACCATATTGCTTAGATTATAAACTCTTGGCAACCTAAAACAAATATTCGGCGATCAGTGATGCTGCGTTGGTGTTTGACAGGTGAGCCTCGTAGGTGGGCTGATTAATCAGTGAAAATCCGAGTCAGACAAACACACTGAACCATGAAACTTTTTGTTGGCGTATTCATACAGCTACCAGAATTACGGTGTTTCTGCAGTTGTTCTACATCATTAAACCAACAACTCAACTAACAGCCAAACATCAAGCCAGTGCAACAACACAATACATGGCAATATTGCTTACTATTCCAAAAGAAAGAATGACAGCTCTGCGTCTGTCTTGCAGCCTTTTATTTCACAAGCTTTCGCCACATCTGGCCTCTTATCCTTTCAGCTCTTTTAGGTCGCTCCAATGAGTGAAAGCCATTCCAATATTTACTCTTGCCTGGTCTTTTTGGTGTGTGACATGATCCTGTAAAGCAATACGCCATTCTCACAATAGGTTTCCTGCCTGGGATTTCAGTAATACATAGCGCAATACTAGGCGTGGAAAGGACAGAGGGGCCATTACCCCTATTACAAGTCAGTGTACCATCAAAATTGTTGAACTGTTATTTTAAGTGTGTAATGTTTATTTGTTTACTGTTTATTTAAATTACTACATAATGTTGCTTTAAGAGTAACAAAATAAAGGGCTGGTCAAATGACTTGACATTGTCATTTATTCTTCAAATTATTTGTAGTACATGTTTTTACTGTTTTGCGACTCTACAGCCCTGCAGTGCAGTAGGGAATAGAAGCGCTCCTTAGTACTGAAACATGTTTCCCTCCATTAGAGAGTGAAAATTGGAGCCATGGAAGTGTAAAGAATTGGACATCAGTCCTCCTAAGCCTCTGAGGTACATCAAGAAATGTTGGCTTGCCAAGCTCTCCCAGTTAAGAGCATGTTCAGTCTGTGAAGATGGCTTCGCAGTAGAGAATACATTAATGCAACATGTTACTCCATGTCAGCTGAGCCATGTGTTAAATTTCATCCTGTATCTTATGGGTATGGATGGTGGCTGGTCTTGATGAAAAGGCTCACACTTTTTATCTTATAGTCATATTTAAAGAAATAATCCATGACATTTTAATATAAATAAACTTTTCAAATAATCTTTTTGGTACTCACTACTGCTGACTGAGATAACACTGTGTGATTCAACCTATATCCAGTTTATGACTGTTGTAGCAATTGCTTTTTTAAACATCCAGTGATGGTAGTCAGGAACAGGTCTATTTTACAGCAACACCAAAATTAATAGAAAAACTGGGTTATAGGCATGAGCAATGAAGTGGCTGATTTATTCATTCTTCATCCCCTCAGTTTATCCGGGGAACTCTTATTTGAAAGAACCACAAAAATCAGTGTGGAGGAAAGCCTAAACAAGTGAGGGGAATATCAAAAAAACAGACTTCTGTTTTCTTTATAAATATACAAGATATATTTAGTTTACGTGTTGATATATACTATATTGACTATATTGAAACATTGAGATGGACGATGGCATGGGGGTGGTGGTGTAGCGGGGTCGGTGCGTGTCTTCACTCGCACAGACTTCACTCGGTCAAAGACTTGAAATGATGTTACAAGTCGCGGTGGATATTTTACAAGCACAGTCCAGGTAACGTTAAAGCATCATTGAACACAGGGTGCAGATGTTGGTTTCGGCTGTTTGAGTTGTTTGATAGGCTGCGTCATTAACAAGCAAGCGGCTCACCTGCTGCTGTGATAACGGATCACGGCTGGAAAAATATGGAAAAAAGATGAAGTAGCGTAGTCTGCTGAAGCCTTCCTCCACTGCTTGTTTGGGTGGTTGATTTGCAGGCTGATCAACATGCCGCCCCTCGTGTGTGGTTTGACTGTATGTGTATTCAGAGCCAGTGAGCAATGGACTTTCAAACTAATAATAATAATAAAATAAAAACTGTGTTAACGTGCGTCAAAATAATTGTCGGCGTTAATTAATTAATGCGTTAATGCGATAACGTGTTAACGTGCCCAGCCCTACTAATTACTTGTTAAAAAATGTAATCAGTAACGTAATCCAAGTACCACAAAATCAAAATCAAAATCCATGTTTAAATGTTTTTATATGATATGCAACACTATGTCACCACTATGGCAGTATCCAGCCCATCAATGACAAAAAATGTGGTTTGTAGGTATTCTTGATGATATTTAAGAGTTTGTCATTTGGAAAAAGCTTTTTAAAATGTTTATGACTCATTCTGCAGTTAATGAAACATTTCTCAATATTACGCTGCTGAAGCATAGTGTTTCTGGGACTGGGCCCCACCAATTACTCTACAAAAACACATATTTTTTCACATATTTTTGTGAAACTGGATCATATTTGATGATGAAATATTAGAAATATGGAGAAAATATATTTTAGTTTTCTCTCTGATGTCCCCCAGCTGCTCTGCCTCAACTCTGTGATTCACACAGTTTCCTGATGGACAGATAGCTTTACTTGTTGATAAAGTTGGTTCAGCAGCCTCCCAGTGAACACGGCAGGCACAACAGGGAATCCAGTATTGAGATGAATTATACAGAGCTTTCTGATGGATAGCTTTACTTTTTGCTAAACCGCTAACTGTAGCCTATCTGCCTTTATCTGTGGCTAGTTAGCTCGGTCGGTTAGCCGTGCTGCTTGTGGTTCTATTAGCTTACTCATCCCTGGGGTGCCAAGAGCCAAACCCGGCAAGAAAACCACCTCGGTACTGTATTCCCAGCGATCAAACTGGCCTCTAACGGTCTCGGAGGCTGTGCTCGGTCGCGGTCCAGCTGCCGTGTTCACTCACTGAGAGCTGGAACTAGTCTGCACTGAGTCTGCACAACGGGTGGGGGCGTAAACACACATTCGGCGCTACTGGCAACTATAAATGCCAGTCAATGTCTGTGACACGTCCCTCCCTAGCTTTGTGTTTTAACAGAATCATGCAGGGCTGGACTGGGACAAAAAATCAGCCCAGGCGGCCCACAAAAATCGGCTGGGCACCAATACACCATGCTGCCACATACAGTATCTCACAAAAGTGAGTACACCCCTCACATTTTTGTAAATATTTGATTATATCTTTTCATGTGACAACACTGAAGAAACGACAGTTTGCTACAATGTAAAGTAGTGAGTGTACAGCTGGTATAACAGTGTAAATTTGCTGTCCCCTCAAAATAACAAATCACACAGCCATTAATGTCTAAACCACTGGCAACAAAAGTGAATACACCCCTAAATGAAAATGTCCAAATTGGGCCCAATTAGCCATTTTCCCTTCCCGGTGTCATGTGACTTCTAAAGATGATGCCCAAGAAAGCCTGTAAACAGTTTGCTGAAGACAAGCAGACTAAGGACATGGATTACTGGAACCATGTCCTGTGGTCTAATGAGACTAAGATAAACTTATTTAGTTCAGATGGTGTCTGCGGAAACCTGATGAGGAGTATAAAGACAAGTGTGTCTTGCCTACAGTCAAGCATGGTGGTGGGAGTTTCACGGTTTGCGGCTGCGTGAGTGCTGCCTGCACGGGGGAGCTACAGTTCATTGAGGGAACCATGAATACCAACATGTACTGTGACATACTGAAACAGAGCATGATCCCCTCCCTTCAGAGACTGGGCTGCGGGGGCAGTATTCCAACATGATGACCCCGAATACACCTCCAAGATGGCCATTGCGTTGTTAAAGCTGAGGGTAAAGGTAATGGACTGGCCAAGCATGTCTCCAGACCTAAACCCTAATGAGCATATGTGAGGCATCCTCAAACGGAAGATGGAGGAGTGGAAGAGGACTCCAGTGGCAACCTGTGAAGCTCTGGTGAACTCCATGCCCATGAGGGTTAAGGCAGTGCTGGAAAATAATGGTGGCCACACAAAATGTTGACAATTGGGCCCAATTTGGACAATTTTATTTAGGGGTGTACTCACTTGTTGCCAGCTGAGTGGTATGAGCCGTGGACTCATTTTACTGACTCCATGGTGATCAGAGGTGGCTATGGAGTACACAACTCATACTCAAGTACAAGTAGCCTACAAGTCATTTTCACAACAGCGTGGGATTAGCCAATGCGATGCTGATAAAATAACTTAATCTACCCAAAGTTAAGACTGCATTAGGAAACTATGCTAGCTACAAAAACAATATCAAAGAGGTTATGCAGCGCTGGATGACAGTGAGTGATCACCAGCAGTAGGTGAAGTAATCATCATCATTGTCATTACGGCATTGCACACATCCTACCCAAGGCCATCACTTTGTGTTGAAAAGTGGTGGGAACATTTAAGGGTTCAGTTTAGGGGTGTGACAAAACACTTAGGTGATACTCATTTATGAAATATATAAGATTTTAAGCATTAAACACTTTTTCCTGCATTCTGGAGACATTTTATGCACCAATTTATGGTGAAAACATCTTTATTTATATGAAGGGAAACAAAATTCAGGTGGCAGGTGACAAATCAGAACATAAAAATATAATAGAATATAATACATTAATCAGTAGCTTGTTTTTTTTTTGCTTAAGTTACTTTAGAAACACAGATGTTTCTTCTACATTTAGAATGCATTGCATTGGTTTTCTTATTGTGCAAATAAACCTATCTTGTAGCATTCATTTGTTATTTAACATTTCTTGGTGCAAGCTATTTTTCAGAAAACTTTTAACACAAAAAGTGATGGGAACATGTCGCCAGCCTCCCCAGTGACCCTCCCTCCCTGCTCCCTC